TTTGGGATGTGTATGGATAAGGGAACTTCTATTCATAGAGTATGCTCAGGCTTCTTGAAGGCATCTTCTGGTAGTCTGTCAGCAAATTCAGAACTTATGTGTGTGTTGGTTGAAAGACAGTCAGCAGAGAATAAAAATCAATTATGAGACTTGACATCACAAATGAAGTTGATCAAGTCTATGGTGGACTCCTCAGGTTTATCTGAATAGGAGTCAAAAAAAGCAAATGCACTTTTAAGAACTGGAAGTCACCCTGGAAAAGGGACACAGAGGTAAACAGGGTGTGCTGGGGCCACTTCCTCAACCCTTTGGTGCATCTCTCTTCAGTATCATGGGCAGGACTCAGATCTGATGAAGAAGACTGGGAATGCTTGGAGAGGGGTCAGTGAAACAGCTGCTGTACAAGCTGTAGCAACACCAGACAGGGCTCAGCAGCCTGAGAAAGAGGTGTCTGAAGGTTGTAAAGTCCTGAGAAGCATGGAAAAGATGACCAGCAAATGACAGTTCTTTATCAATTTAAGCATAAAAATCAAAAGAGTTTTGTAGCTGCTCTTCCAAAAGGGATGAAGAAGTGCTTGTCTCACAAAATCTAGGTCTCTGTGCTGTAGGAGGCTGTGGATGTGAAAAGTTCACACAGGTGCAAAACACAAATGTGTAATGTCATGGAAGAAAAATCCACCCAGAGGTTATCAGGTACAAAAGCTCTGGCCTGGGAAGTCACTGAGCTGCAAAATGGGTGAGAGTGTTCAGGGGGAGTGCCACAGCCCCTGTGCTCCTGGTGTGGGTATTTGCTCTTGGCCACAGTTTGAAACAGGTCCTAGGCAGGTGAGCTGCCAGCCTGGTCTAATAACAACTGTGTTTATGTTACAGCTCTGTGATCCTCCCATTAAGGTGGAAACCACGTGACCCAGAATATTTAGCCTGGATAAAGTATAGGATGCTGCATGGCTGGGAATGGCCTTACCAGGAATAATAGGATGGTGAAGTAGAGGGTAGCTTGCAAGTCCTTTCCAATAATAGGTGTTTTAATTAAAAGGCATGGCAATTCAACATGAAGTCTGTGACAGAGAGAAAAGAAAGGAAAAATTACAGAAAGAAATATCTGAAGGCAGCAGTTTGCACAATGCTCTCCCCACAGGCTTCCACCAGCTGCTGACAGTGTATCCAAGCCACAAGGTCAACACTTCTCTCATAAACTCTTGGTTCCAGGATATGATACACCTACCCCTGACACAGGCTGTTGGCCTGGCTGAAGCAGGGTCTTTTAGGTCTTTGTGGATTTAGTCCTGGTTATGAGTGTTTCTATCTTTAGTTACAAAACACAGTGACACATTTTTAACTGTAAGCCTTTAGCTAATCTTTGATAGACCGGTGAATATATAATAGTTCTGGGGTTATTCAGAGTCTACAACTTCCTCTTTGAAAGGTTAGTGTTTATATATTCCTTGTCTGTTTAAACTGTATTTTCACCCTGTGAAGAGCAGAACTTGTGAGATACAGAGATAGGATCCTGGGACTTTCTTGCCCTCTAAAAAAGGAACATGTTCTGCTGGTTCATTTTACAAGCTGCCTCTCAGAAATTTAGATTTGAAGAAAAGCTTTTGTTTTCTGAAAAGAAAAAACCCCAGGCTTTGTTATTTCTGTTGTTCCTGTTGCCTTTCCATTTGGAATTTTAATCAGGTCATGTGCCCTTCGTGCAGGAACTAATACACATTTTGTACCCACTAGCTACAGTTGCAGAGCTGAAGCTGGTACAATTTGCCTGGGGAAAGACAACATAATTTGCACATCAGCACTTCTATATGAATTAACAGTCAGACAGGCATATCAAGTCATACATGAACTAATTTATAACCTTAATCCTCAGATGTAGTGTGTGTGACCACGGGAAAGGTCCTATCAAACTAATCCTACAAAACCCCACTAAAAGCCAGGGGTATGTATTATTTTTAAGAAAGCTAATGACAGGAGGGAAGGCCAAGGAACAGACTAATTTATATGAATGTTATGAAATAAAACAAACAAAAAATTGCATTCAGGGAATCCAGAAGTTTCTCCACCATTCATCTTGCTGACCCTAAGGCCAGTGAGCCTCCTGCTGCTGCAGCTGACCAGGAGAGGCAGGGCTTGAACTGAAGAATCTTCAATATGGCTCTTGCAAGATTGTCTCCTAGTGTGTGTAGCAACTGCAGTCAGAGCAAGGGCAAGGTCTCCTGTCTGTGCAGGTAAGAGTAAACCAAGCCAGCAGTGATACTCAGGATATCCTGGTGTCCTTCAGAAGGATGCAGTAGTGCTGCATGAGTGTCATACTGAATTGGAGTGAGGAGAAACATGGCATTAGGCTCAGTGTAAGGACAAACCTGATCTGGACATCAAAGCTGCAGCTGTCACCCTGTGGCAGATGCCAGAGCCTGCAGAGGAATCAGAGCTGCCTGCTGAGAACCTGCATTGCTGACAGACACAGTTTCTGGTACCAACCAGACCAAGATTGAAGCCCCTGTGCAGATGAGGCCAGAGTGAGGTGAGGCAGTACAACAGATCACTGGGGATCTGCAGACCCTATCTGACCTCGAGCTGCTTCTGCTCTGTCCTCACTGTCCCCCAGTGGAGCTGGGCAAGTAGCACCTTCCTGGGCACCCCTCAGGAATGAGGGGAATGAGAGGGGAGCAGGCTCCTATTTCCTTACCCTGCAGGCAATGCCCCAGCTTTCCCCAGCAAAGAGCCAGTACAGATCACCTTCTTTTGCTGTGTCCATCAGAGGGTGAGATCTTCCAGGGACAGGTCCTGGTTCTTTGGTGAGATCATTCCAGCTGCACACCTTATGGGTGAGCTGGTCTCCAGAGGAGGGGCAACAGGGATGAGAAAGACAGAAAAAAATCCTGCCTGCTCTGTCTCACTCATTACTCAAAGACTGAGTACTGTGGCAATATTTTGATATCCTTCCATCAACATCATACAAGCTGAAAAGGTATTCTTGGCCACATCCTTTGTAGTACTACAATGATTTTTCCAAACTCTCTCAGGCTGGCATTGAAACAGGCAGTGGGAGGAGGGTATCTGTGGCTCTGGAGATTTTAGCTTGAGCTAGGAGGATCCCAACAGGAAACAACGAAAAATGAGACAATTTAGCACAACTGACAGGAATTAATGAAGTGATTCTGTTCCTCTGTCGCTGTGTTTCCAGGTGAGAAGGATTCATCAAAACAATATTGTCTGTTCTGTCTGTGAGGTGAAGAGGACTCTGCCTGCCCAGACAAATTGATGAAGTTTTGGCTTCTCTTACATTTTGCCATCCAGAGTTGTATGTTTGGGCACTCACAGGTGGGGGAGAGAGAGGGGGAGAGGGAGAGAGAGGGAGAGAGACTGGGCTTACAAGCTGTCACAGGCAATAGAAGCACAGCAGCAACTATGCTGCTGGGGTCTAGGGGTAGTTGACAGCCAGGAACCCTCTGAGTCACCTTATCTTTCCATAGATGAGCTTGGGGAGAAATCTGAGCAGTGCCTCAACCAGCAATTATTTTTTGAACAGAAATACAATATGGCTGAATTGTATCACAGTTGCCAGAACAGGCTTTCTTTCATGCTGCAGTTTCTTAGGTCTACTTGTCAGGCTATCTAGATCATGAATTTTACAACTACAGTTGTCCCTGGGATTAGGGACATGCAGCACACTGGTTGAGAGCCAGCTGCACATGAGCCAGCTGTGCCCAGGTGTTCAAGAAGGCCAGTGGCACCTGGCACTATCAGCAATGGTGTGGCCAGCAGGAGCAGGGCAGGGATTGTCCCCCATATACAGCACAGCTGAGGCCACACCTCCAGTGCTGTGTCCAGTTTTGGGCCCTGCTCTACAAGACAGACACTGAGGTGCTGGAGCACATCCAGAGAAGGGCAACCGAGCAGGTGATGAAGAACAGCTGAGGGAAGGAAGGGCCTGTTTAGCTGGAGAAAAGGAGGCTTACGGGGACCTTAGGACTCTCTATAACTCCTTAAAAGGTGGTTGTGGCAAGGAGGAGCTTGGTACCTTTTTTCACAGGTAACAAGTGACATGATGAGAGGAAATGGCCGTAAGTTGTGCCCGTGAAGGCTTAGATTGAATATTAGGAAAAAATTTCTTCACTGAAAGGGTGGTCAGGCATTGGAATAGGCAGTCAAGGCAAGTGGGGAAATCACCATTCTTGGAAAGGTTCAAAAAACGTGTGGAGATGGCACCTGGGGACATGGTTTGATGGAGAATTGAGCAGTGCTGGACTAATAGCTGGACTTGATGATCTTGGAGGTATTTTCAGCCTTAATGATTTTATGATTCTATATAACACTTAAAGACATGAGGTGAAAATTACAGTGAAGAACTCCTGGGAACAGGCAGAATGAGATTACTTTCAATTATGTGACTATGAGACAGAAGCCAGCCAAAAAAAGTGGTAGGAATTCTCCAGGTCTGTAATATGGTAAATGAGCTTGATTTGTTGGTGTTTTCTTACTGAAGTGCATTTGGGCTTGGGTTTTTCAATCCAGAGTCAAGTCTGAGTTGTTTCTCAAGAACTCCAGTTTCTGAGTGATCAATCATTCAGAGACTAGCGATACCAACTGAGAGCATTCATGCAGTGGTTGCAAGAGCAGGGTGAGAGCAATGAATGGGTGACTGAAACACATGAGAGGCTGCTGCCACTTCCCTGGCCCTAACAAAAAGCTCTGGGCTTGCAGAGGTGACCCAGAGGAGCAAAGAGGAATGCTAAATTGAGGATGGGGTAGCATCAGCAAGTGTTACAGATGGGTGGCCAACCACCCAGAGGGCCATGATACCTTGTGTTGTCTACAAGGTTTGTACAGGCTCTGTGTGTTCATGGGATAGAAAACCTCCTACTGCTGCAATTAAAAGATTTGAAGAGATTAAGGCTTGTAGTAAAGTGATTCTTCTCAGGTCTGCTCCCATAGCAGATGTGTGCTGTGGTAGGGTTGTAACACACAGGCATTCACAGTGTCTCTTTGTCTCTCTCTAGGTTCTCAAGCATCTGCGACACTTAAATTTCACCAATAACATGGGGGAGCAAGTGGATTTTGATGAGTTTGGGGACCTGGTAGGAAATTACTCAATAATCAATTGGCATCTCTCTCCGGAGGATGGCTCAGTCGTCTTTGAAGAGGTTGGGCACTACAACGTCTATGCCAAGAAAGGGGAGAGGCTTTTTATCAATGAAAACAAGATCCTGTGGGGTGGATTCTCTAAGGAGGTAAGTGCTTAAATCCTCACAGCAATGTTTTCCAGATCCACAAGGTGAAATTTGAACTAGCCCTGCACACTCCTCCTATTATGGCTCCATGATATAGATCCATTCACCTTACTGTATACACAGTCTCTGCCATAGCCTTTCTTACCCTTCTTATACACTGAAATAACAGACAATGTCTCCTCTCCTTCTGTATATTTGTTTACCTACCCTGGGTATTAATGTTTTAAATGATATCCTTTTTTCCTGGCCCAAGCAGATACAGTAGAATTTTATAGCAGTGTTTCAAAGGGATGAAAAATTCATTACCCAAGTCTGGCTGTTGACTAAATCAATATTTCCTGAGCTCGGTAGTTTCATTGCTGAAAAGAGCCATCTCTTTCACTCCAATTGTGTCTGTATCAAGAAGTGCTTCTTCTTACTCTTAGTTATATTTACAACTCTTTCTGCTGGCTTCACCCACCAAGTCCCAGAGGCTTCCTCACACCCTTGCCTTGCAAACCAACAGAAAAAGCCCTGTCAATCTGCCTGGGTTAACTTGGACATGGTGCTCAAATAGTGGAAGATGCCAGCACCTGCTACCTTTTTTTCCTCCTTGTATTTTCCTTGAGGATGCTTCTGCAGCCTCAGAAGTAGTGATCTCAACAGGTATCAATTGACTTCAGTCAGGTCTAAGTCCTTCTCCACTGTCTTACATATGTTTAATGTTTTTTCAGCATAATTGTTGTCACTAGCAGCCAGGCTGTTTTCACGTGATGGAAACATGGTGCAGACATCTCCACACCAGAGCCAAATGAACTGCTGTCATAGCTGGCAACAGCCAGCTAGGCAGAAACTCTGGCTCCCAGAGGGAATACTGAGTGGGTACATGGTTTGTGGTCTGGGAATTGACACAGGGAGTAGAGTATTAGCTCAGCAATGTCACTGCCAGGCCCTGCTGGGATGTTTCAATGTGTTAAGCCAGCACCTGATTAATGAAAGAGGGAATTCACTTCCAGAGGATTATTCACACTGGCTGGCAGATCAGGTAATGCTCCTGCCTTAGCTACTTGTCCAGAACAGTTACAGCATGAGTTCAGCCTTTCATTTACTCCAACTACACTTCTGGTTCAAGTCCAGAGCACTCTGAAGGAGGCATGAATTGAACAGAGCATACTACCACAGAAATACTGACCTCAGAGCTTTTCTATGTCCATCTGGAGTCTGTAAGCACAAACTACAAGTGGAACTTAAAGAACCTTGATATTATAATCCCTCCTTCAGATTGTTGCAAATGCATCTTGCACTTTTCCCAACAGTTAGGATTTATTGGTTTTTACTTAAACTGAGTGATTGTGTTCTCTTGGTCTAAATTTCTCTGGCAGTGCAATGTTTAACTTCATTCTCTGTCCTAAACTGTTAAAAATGTGACAGGATGTTGCTGAGTGTAGTGCCAGGGTATGTAAATTTTGTGCAGTGGAGGGGTTTGCAATCTCTGTGTCTTGCTGCAGCCTCTTTTTTCAGTTTATATACTTCCAATTTCTTGCAAATAAAAGGCTGTGTTCAAAAAGAGTAGCCAGTACTTCACTCACTGTGCCTCTTATCATCCCCAACAAAAGTTTGAATGTAGGTAATTCTAACATTCAGGAACTTCAGCATTGGGCAGACTTGCAAAAGAATGAGTTAAAGAGTAGGTAAGATAGATAGATTCATTTTGGCAGGACCTGATGAAATTCCCCACAGAATACTTAAGAATTCAGCCAAAGCAATCACAAAAGTACTGGCAATTCATCTTCCAGAAATGTGGAGGATGCATGATGTCTCAAAGGATCAGAGAGCAATCATAATACCTGGTTTTAAAGCAGTTATAGGAGAACCAAGGGAATTATACACAATTGACCTGAGCTTCAGTAACCTAAAAGACTTGATAAAAAAAATTAAACAATTTATAAACACTAAAAGGATAATAAACTGATAAGAACAAGCCAACATGTATTTGTCAAGATAAAATCATGCCAAACCAATTTAATTTTTCTCCTTGGAAGCTCAATGAACTTTGTAGATAATGGGGAAGCAGCGTGTAACTTCAGCCAGCCTTTGATTCAGCTCTGTTCAAAATCACTGGTGGCAGCCTAGGGAAAGACAGCCTAGACTGATGAAGTCCTCTTGATGGATGCACTGTCTGCTCCAAGACTGTCCCAAGGAATAGGAGCACTGTGTTTATAGCACTAGGCACTAACAGCAGAGCGCTTCAAGCTGGGAGCTGCAGGGAGTTACCCTATGTATATGTCTGTGCCATAAATGAACAGCTTAGGAACAGCATTCCCAAAATTTTGCTGCAGCTGCACTTCTCAGTGATAGGACACAGACACTGCCCTCACCAGAGCCACAGAGCAGTCATCTCTGCATAGCAGTTGTCATTAGTGAGGGCTTTGCTTCCCCTGTGGCTAGGGCATCAAGCCTGCACATAGGCAACTTCCAAACCATAGCTAGGACTCCTTGTACAAATGCATCAATGCAGGAGGTTCCTGGAGATCAGCAGGTTGGCAGCACTTGGCTAAACTAGCACCAAACTTCCGAAAAGGTGAATGGAGGCTTCCAAACTGAACAGCCATTGACTATGTATGGATCATGGTACTTTTCTAGCAGTGGAAATTGTATGTTTAACTCTCCTGAGCTGAGAAAGTCATGTTCTTTGTCAACTCCCTTTCTTTAATTTAGTTGGAAAGAGGTGAGCTCAACCTCAGGTCATGACTGTGTGACAAAGTCCCAGGCTTCCATTCATCATGCTGAAGTCTTTGTGTCAGTGTACTTCAGGCATGCAGTGAGCCCACGCAACCACTTGCTGCCAGAACACGACAGTGCTCAGGTGGGCTCAGGCACAGCAGAAATGCACAGCCAGCAGGTGACATCATTTACAGCAGCAGAGGTCTGGAAACCTTTGGATCTGTAAAGCGCCACTGATTTGCATCTTTAGATGTTCAGTGTTCTTAAAGAAGTGAGTTTCAGAAAAGTTTTTTTAAAATAATCCCCCCAAATTATTAGCAGACATTATGCAATATGTTGGATTGGGGATCAGATGTCAGGGCCCCTCATCTCCAAGGTTGACTCAAATTCCTGCCAGTAAAGATTGACTGTCTTTTCTTCTAACCATCTAATGACTGTTTTGAGGTATGTGTATCATGGTCACATTCCAGTTTGCAATGCCCACAACACAGTAGAGATTACAAAGGTCTGCTGATCTTCTTTACTATCCCTTGATGTGTTCCTTCAGAGAAATCTCACTGCAGTGGGCTGGGGAAGGACTATTGTGCAAAATGTGTCTGTTCTGTGGGCGGAAGAGGTGAGCATTTGAGGCTCTTCATCCAGCATGCCAACCAAGCAATAATTCCCTTGGTGGAAGCCAAGATCTTGCCACAGTAAGGCACTGGCACCATTAACCTGCTCGGGCTCTTTTCTTGCAGGTGCCTTTCTCCAACTGCAGCAGGGACTGCCTGCCGGGCACGAGGAAGGGCATCATTGAGGGGGAGCCCACCTGCTGCTTCGAGTGCGTGGACTGCCCCGACGGGGAGTACAGTGACGAGACAGGTAACGCCCCCACAGCTGCTCTGGGCCTGATGCCCTCCAGACATCACCCACAGATTGTGCTGAAATCACTTCCCTGCAGGGCTGGCCTGCTGCCTTCCTTGCCAGGAGGCTTCACAGAAAGTTTGAGGGACTTCTGAAAAGCTTACAGGAGTTGAGTCCTGTGGCCCTCAGGTCCTGTCTACTGCTAAGCCTGCTTGTGCCTTCTGCTCTGCATCAGGAAAATTAAGGCAGAGAACTTGAAAAACAACTTACATATAGAAAGTCTCTCAGGCAGCCACAAACAAACTCTATTGCACTGTAGCTTTTCCTCCAAAAGTTTTCCTTTTGTAGTAGTTTTTCCTCCAAAAACGTGGAGGAGGGAGAGATTCCCCATCCTAAATTCTGCAGTTATCTGTCGGCCCCCATGTTTTCCTCAAACTGTCAGGGTTTTATTTCATGCTTTACAAAGAAATAAAATCCATTACATCCTAGATTTCACAAGCAGAGAGAAATATTTCCCTTTATGAACTCACCAACTACAGGTTCTCTTGATAACTGATAGCACAAAAAATCAGAATCTGTGGATCCTACTGAGCTCCCATGGACATGTTTTTTGCTTCGTTGGGAACTTGGATCAAGCTACCCAGGCTCTGGAAGAGACAGAAAATGTAAACTCAGGTTTCAAAATGGCTGAAAAATTTTGATTTTCCAACACCACTAATGCTCCCTCAGTTTTGGGCATCCCCAGGGTAATGAAGGCAAGTAAAGTATTTCAGGATATCAGTCCTCTCTCCACTGTCAGGTACTTGGGACTTCCCCATACGCTCTCTGCTGCGCTAGTCCCAGCAAACACTGCAGACCTCTCAAGAGAGGAACAATTCAGTAAACTCCTTGCAAAACTGAACAAGTGTTCTTTGGGAGAATCTAATTCGTGTCCTACCAGACAGGAATGATATTTTTTTAGCATGACGATACAGTACTACAGGATGCTTGGAAGCAGGATTTTCAGATTAAATAGAAGCAATTCTGGTCATATGTAATAGGGGTCTTCTGGTGTTTTTCACATAATTTTGGGAGCTAGCTCTGGTGTGGAGGTGGAATTTATGGGGCTGAGGTGGCAACCGTCTTCTGACTCTACAGTTTCCTGCTGCAATTTCAGCTAACAGTAACAGTCTTTATTTCCCATGCTTGCCAGTTTTATAGGCATAGAGAGCAGCTTTACAACCAGTTCCATCCAGCTGAGACAGTGATGCTGGCAGAGGAAACAATCTGTCCTTTCCCAGCTGTTTGCTCCCACACTTTGTCTGGGAGCAGTGCTGGCACTTGTGCGACCATGGAGTGAATTGGATCAGGTCTTTGGTCTTCCTGAAAACAAGCTCTTGGGAGGTTGAGTTTCCAGCTGGGATGAGAAGCTGTGTGCCCTCAAGTGTTAACAACACAAAGGAGGAGGAAAGAATGAGCAGCCTTGCAGGAGGAGGGAGACTTGGTTGACTCCCTTCAGAGGCAGCAAAGTCTCTAAGCCACCACAAGACAGCAGTGAAAGCATGTCTTTAGGGTGCAGTGCTGAATAACTGTCTCTGGCAGAGGCTACTGGATTCCCTGCTACACAAAATTAACTTTGCTTTGTCTGCAGCTTTTAATTTATAATGAACTTCCAGGTAAAAGGCACAAGAAAAATAAGAATTATTAGCTGAATGGATGTAAATGAAATTACATGGTGATGAACAGTTTCTGCCTGAGCTTTTGCACCTAGCGCCAGATTTTCAAATAAACACCTTAGGTGAGGCAAAAAGTCCTTAGGAAAGTGGTATCATATCAGGTCATGGATGGTCTCTCCAACCACACCTCAAGAACAAGACAGCCTGAAAACTTCTGGCCTCGTTAGCTGGGCATTCCTGACTTTCTCATTAGCATCAATCTCTGCTCTGGAAGCTGTGGTCAGAGTCTGTGTCTGTGCTCAGGTGCAAAACTCAGAGGGTGATTGCTGTTAAAGGAGTTGTGGACTCTCTGCAGCCCCTTGCTATCCTGCTGGGATCCCAAAAGCAGAGGTAAGCTGAGACCTCCAGCTCTCTGCTCGCAACTCCTTTCTACTGCCATCAAAAGAGTTGCGACCCTCCCTGCTAGAGCACAAGACCCATTTAAGTCAATGAAGAAGAGCAGAAGCAACAGGCCCTTGCTTTTGATCATGCAAGCCATTGGCATGGCCATGCTATCACAGCAGGCCCAGCTATTTTCATGAAGGAGATGGAGGCACCAATTTTCCCTTTGCAAGTATTAGTGGGGCATTTGCTGGGTGTAGGGAGAGTGATACTAATAAGACACATCTTTCCCTGGCATTCCAACGTGAAATGAGAATGTGCTGCAAGTCAAGGGCATTGTCTGCCCTCAGGGAAGAGCAATTTAGACAGTAAGACTTGCCTCCATGGAATATGAAATAGGCTCTCAAAGCATTTAAGGAGGCAAGCACGTTTTTAATTTTCTCTGTAATAGAAAAAGGCAGGGTATTCAAATTATGATAAAAGTGTGAGAGGTATGAAGACAGACAGAAGTAGAAGATAAAAGTGAAGAAAGAAGGAAGAGGGAAAACCAGAGCCTGTGTAAGAGCTGATAGCAATCGAAGTTTGCAAAGTTTTGCCAAGAAAAGTACTACAAAAAACATGAGGGCAGAGGCAGGACTTCTTTTAAGCCAGAACCAAGCATGCTTTGTGTTTTCCTATATAGCCCCTGGGAGGCTGGTTGTTTCAGAGTAAGAAACTCCAAGACATCAATATATGACTCTGGGGATCTGCTCACAGGAGCGGAACACTCTGTGTGTTTAAGATCAAGGCTGGTGTGTAGCTGCCATATATGTCATCCCACACTTCAGCCTCTCATTCTGACAAACCTTCCCTCTCCTTATCACTTCTTTTTCAGATGCAAGTGCCTGTGACAAGTGCCCTGAGGATTACTGGTCCAACGAGAACCACACGTCCTGCATCCCCAAGCAGATAGAGTTTCTGGCCTGGACTGAGCCCTTTGGGATTGCTCTGACTCTCTTTGCTGTGCTTGGAATTTTCCTGACTTCTTTTGTTCTGGGAGTCTTCACCAAATTTCGCAACACACCCATAGTCAAGGCCACAAACCGGGAGCTATCCTACCTCCTTCTCTTTTCCTTGCTATGCTGTTTCTCCAGCTCATTGTTCTTCATTGGTGAGCCCCAGAACTGGACTTGCCGTCTGCGGCAGCCAGCTTTTGGCATCAGCTTTGTTCTCTGCATCTCCTGCATCCTGGTGAAAACCAACCGTGTCCTTCTTGTCTTCGAAGCAAAGATCCCCACGAGTCTCCACCGAAAGTGGTGGGGCCTCAACCTTCAGTTCCTCCTGGTCTTCTTGTGCACGTTTGTGCAGATTGTCATCTGTGTGATTTGGCTCTACACGGCCCCGCCATCCAGTTACCGAAACCATGAACTGGAAGATGAGATCATCTTCATCACCTGCCACGAAGGCTCCCTGATGGCCCTCGGCTTCCTCATTGGCTACACCTGCCTACTGGCAGCCATCTGTTTCTTCTTCGCCTTCAAGTCTCGAAAGCTGCCTGAGAATTTTAACGAGGCCAAGTTCATCACCTTCAGCATGCTGATATTCTTCATCGTGTGGATCTCCTTCATCCCTGCTTACGCCAGCACGTACGGCAAGTTCGTGTCGGCTGTGGAGGTGATTGCAATACTGGCTGCCAGCTTTGGGCTTCTGGCCTGCATCTTCTTCAACAAAGTCTACATCATCCTCTTCAAGCCCTCCCGCAACACAATCGAGGAGGTGCGCTGCAGCACAGCTGCCCACGCTTTCAAAGTGGCAGCCAGGGCCACCCTGAGACGGAGCAACGTGTCCCGCAAGCGTTCCAACAGCCTGGGCGGCTCCACCGGCTCCACCCCTTCCTCCTCCATCAGCAGCAAGAGCAACCACGAGGACCCTTTTCCTCTGCCGGCCTGCGCCGAGCGGCAGCGCCAGCAGCAGCGCGGGTGCAAGCAGAAAGTCAGCTTTGGGAGCGGAACGGTGACGCTGTCGCTGAGCTTCGAGGAGCCGCAGAAGAACGCCATGGCCAACAGGAACGCCAAGCGCCGGAACTCGCTGGAGGCCCAGAACAGCGACGACAGCCTGATGCGGCACCGGGCCCTGCTTCCCCTGCAGATCAATGAGCCCCTCGGGGCTGAGCCCGGCTTCCAGGCAGCTTCCAGCCCGGAGACCAGCTCGCAGGAGTCGGTGGTGGGAGACAACAAAGAAGAGGGACCGAGCCCTGAGGCGGAGCCTTCCCTGCCGTCGGTTAACTCCCGAAATTTTATAGGCACTGGAGGTGGCTCTGTCACAGAGAACACGGTACATTCCTAACGAAAGAAGATTGCGAAAAGTACACCAGCCCCCAGGAGGAACTTGCTCTCCTCTTGCTTCTGAACGGGAAAGGCAACAAAGACACACTGGTGTGACACGGCCCCACCACGCCTTAATGTTAGCGCCGGCAGGGTAGCACATGTGCCTCCAGAGGAAGGACTGTGTCTGGAGAGCCTGGGATTGAATTTGCATTTGCTTTATTGAAACCAGGACATCTCCGAAGGACAAGTGAAGATCGCCTCTGGTGGGGCTTAAGCAGAAGTCTGCACGCTGCCTCGCCTCCGTAAGCTTTTCCTGCCAGACTGCAACTCAGCTGACTATGGGAGGCACTAGGCAATTCCACTATACCCTGCTTTTACATTTATGTATAATATTCCTTTTTCCCAATATGTATGATATTCCCTCTTTATCCAGTATATGTGATCTGTAACCATGTGCATCAGGACTCTCAGCTCTACAAAAGCAAGGTACACGGTTTCACTTCAGGAAAGCACAGTCATGGGGAAAATAAAAATGCCCCCAACATCCTGCATGCTGTGTACAGCCAAGGGTGTGAACATGTAAAGTATTTAATGTGACAGAGCGCCCTGCTAATTTATATTTAGTAATGTCCCAGTCTCTCCTTTCTGCCCAACAGGAAAACTGGACAATACTCTCTGTAGACTCCATTGCACTAGACCAAGCTACTTAGGTTCCTACTGGTTTCCTCCAGCTGGAATAGCTTTACCTCCAGCCTGCCTGCTTTGGTGGAGGGGGAGAAGAGCTTGTAAATCCCTCGCAGAGAACGCTGCAAAGGCACAATGAGATGTATCCCTGATTGATTATGTCGCTAGTAGTTGTATGCTTAACCAAGTGTTGCTGCTGTACTATCCCACAAGGCATACATGGCTAACCCTTCACACCATAGTCAGCGTTGTGCTTTGCCGTATTAACCTGCCTCACACCTACACGGAGCATTGCGACAGTCCTGGCGGTACTGGTGGGCCTGACACAGCAGATGGAACAAGGAGAAATGGAGGAGTTAGGGATGGAGGGGGAGCCCCCAGCTGTGGTAGTAGAGTCACTGGAGTAGGTGAATATCACAAGTGTGTGTGCTGGTCTCGGTGAGACAGACCTTCAGGCCTAGGTTCTTGGACATATACAGGGACAAATGGATTAACTGGATACAGTTTTGCTCCTAAAAGCCACCTACTAGGTTATTTCCCATTTTGAAGAGAGGGCACCTAGCACAAGAATGGTGGACTGTACCTAAAGAAAATCACTAAGGATGTCAGCAGAGATCATAGCAGAACTTGATTACTCTTGTCCCACTCTTCCTAAAGCAGACATAAGTGCCTCTGGTTTTTCAAGGCATGCCTCATTCTTTTGGATTCATGCTGGAAAAGTTGAAAGAGTCATTAGCAGAGAGATTTGTTGTGGTCTGATAAGAGAAAAAACATCCCTGGACAGCCTGGTGGGAGGGGCTAGGGTTACATTGCAGAATTTAATTCCCTCTTCCCAGATTCCCCGTGGAAGAACAGGCATCAGTCAGGAAGATGTCAGTGCCCTCCCTCATTAGGCATGAAGGCAGTCTAGACCTCTTCTAGAAAGGTAGGTGGGCCTGCAGCTCAGTGTGAGCAGAGACAAAAGGACTGTGTTCGAGTGCATTGGGGGAAACACCACAATTCTCTTGTTACTGTTTTTGCTTGGTTGTTCTTCTGCCAGGGCAGGCAAATAAAACTTACAGGTGACATTACTGTATAAAAACTTTGTTTTGCCACCTCCACTTGTTGACAAGGAAGAGGAGTTTTGACTTACAGGAGCAAAGTGGAAGTCCACAATTCCAAGAGGCAGGCCATTCAGACAAGCTGTTTTAACCCATTTGTTGATCTGTTACATCTCCCTTGGAGTGGGCTCAAATTTTAATTCCACCACATAAGGACCAACCCAACTATAACTGTAAGGCTTACAAATGACTTACTAATATTTGTTGATCTGTTACATCTCCCTTGGAGTGGGCTCAAATTTTAATTCCACCACATAAGGACCAACCCAACTATAACTGTAAGGCTTACAAATGACTTACAAATATTTGATTACAACTCTGGCTCAGATGATTGAGGAAGGAAAAAAAAAAGAGAGTTTGGAAACACAAATCCTTCTAGCCCAAATTTTGGAAAATACCCGTGGACCCAGCCAAGAGCTGCTTCTGAAACCTAGTCCCTTCCCCAGGCTACTGACTGTGGCCTGTGGGCTCAGTTTAGGGTACCGAATTGAGCCCCAGGGTCTCCTGAGTCTCACTGCACAAACAGGGATGAGCACTAGATGGCAGAGAGGGCTCAAAAAGGCTACGGCCTACAGTTCCAAAAAATTCCAACTGCCGTGATTTTAGTGCTAAGTGAATCATTCCTACCGGAGCAAACCCAGCTCAGCAACCTCCGAAATAAAGATGACAGCACTGAAACGTGTAAGAATTCAATGAGTGAAATGAAAACAACACAATTTACAAACCAAAGACTGTTTAGGAACACAGACAGTGTAAGAAACAGAAGGTCACCATCAGCTGCCTTGTCTGGAGAGCAATATTCACTAGCTATGTATACAGCAGATGATATTGACATTTGGGTGCTTTTCATTCCTTGGGTGTTTTCCATTCTTTACATTTACTTAAAAGGAATTTATACCCTGCCACACAATGAGTCTCCAAGGGCTGCAGTCATTTTTTGGCATGGCCATCTGTGCTGTATTTGCTGGGGAAGCTCCTTCCACCCTCCCTTCTCTCATATGTGGAGCCCTAAGCCTCCAGCTGCAATGCTGCATGAGAGCTGCTGCTGCAGCTGATAGCAGTGACACACACACACTGGACACAAAGGAAGTTCACTAATAAAAGACCCCTTTGGGAAGGTGCTTTGTAACCAAACCCCTTTCCCATGCACGGAGAGGGGGATATGCTCTCATCCTGTCAAGTCCAGGAGAGGAGAAGGCTTGGTCAGGCACCTGTGCAAAAGCCTGTCAGTGTATCACATGTGACATGCTGATGAAGCCACGCTGGGGAACATTCTTCTGTTGAAAGCACGAGCCTGAGAACCTCCACAGACATTTCCTACCAGAAGATGCCCATGGGAATGCCTCATCCCACCCACCATGGCTCAAAAAGCCACTGGAAAGCTTGCCTCAGTGTGGGGTTTCCTGAACTGTCCAGTAGTGAAGCAACAGCAGTGTATCAGCTCTCTGGTGGGATTTCCACTAGAAAACTTGGGAAGTAGCCAGTGAAGAGCCCAAGCCTTCATCCCCAGTCTCCTGACAAACCTGGCAGAACTCTGCCTATCCAAAGCCCCAGGAAATAATTTATTTATAGATGATACCAGAGGAAAGAAAATTCCCCATTATATTTCATGCTGGTCCCCATGTCCTCCTTGTCAGTCCATGAGCTCTGTTCAGTTTGCAATACCTGCTATTGTTAAATTTAGGTTTATATTGACCAACTTTACCAAGGGGTGCTGCAAAACAGGAGGAGGAAGGTAGGTGTTTGTTGTTGGTTTTACAAGAGTCTGGATGTTTAAATTGTGGGGAAATTTAGGTAAAGACCTGAACATTCAGACTGAAATCTCCGCAGGGATTTCCCAGAGGCTGGATAATTCACCACAGCCTTCAGCTTGCTGGCTGAGGAGTGGCAAAATCAGCCTGGGAGAGGGAATGGTGAACGTGGTGTACGAGGGAGCCTCTCGGGACTCTAGCTGGTCAGAGTGACCCTGAGATGGGTTAGAAAGTCTCTTTTCCCAGCCCGGGGGTCGAAGAAGGAGTCAGAGCTCTTCATTTCTCAGTCTCAAGGTTGTTTATTGTACCTTATCTATAAAATTCTTTCTCCTGACCTGCCGAGGTCCACTCAGTAGGACAGTCAGAGGCACTCTGCCTGCCCCCAGGGTGGTGTTATCTTTTTATACTAAAAACTACGTGTACAATATTTACAATAACTTTCCAATACCTATCACCTATGTTAGACAGTGAGCTTCTACTCTAAACCAATCTAAAAGTACCAACATCACAATAGAAGATGAAGGCCAAGAAGAAGAAGGAGAAAGGCTGGACATGCCCCGATTCCTCCAGCTTGCCCCCTGAACCCCCATTCTAAAAACTCCAAAAATCTATTTTTCACCCTGTGATAAATTCACTATCATTCTACTTAAACTTTCGGGGCTTGTAATTCTACATGTAAGGTTGGTAATTGCTTTTTCTAAGGGCTAAATCAAAGGCACAGGGGTCTTGGGCTCTGTGCCAAGGTCTCTGAGCCCCCTGGGCAGGGGCTCGAGTTCTCCAGGGCAGCCAGAGGAATTTCTTGCGTTCCGACAGGAGCCTGGAGATGGACCTTTCCATGCGGCTAAGGGAACCCGCCGCTGCTGGGGGAGGTGCCACAGGGGAAGGGAAAACAGCGGCTGAGGGCGGCCCTGTCCTCCCGCGGGGCTGTCACGGAGGCGCCGCTCGCTGAGGAGCGGCCGCAGCCCTTCTGTCCAGGGTGCAGAATAAATCCTGCCGGCAGCTTGCACTGCAAGTGTCGCTTTGGGCTGGTTTTGTCTCCGATCGGGCCGCGATGCTCCCGCCGAGCGCGGGCAGCGCGGGTCCTGCTGGGCCGCGCTTACCCCGCCCCGGCCGGGCGGAGCCGGAGCCAGGCCCGGCCGCTCCCGCCCGCCGCCGCCTCGGCCGCCGAGCCCCCGCCCGCGGGCTCCAGCCCCGGGCCCAGCACCGCCCCCGACACCGCCCCGGCCCTGGCGAGGGGCAGGAGCGGCCCGGAGCGGAGCGGTGCCACCATGTTGTGCGGGGGTGCCTCGGCGGCCCGGCCCGCCACCGAGGAGACGCAGCGGATCGCGGAGCAGGTGAGGGGCCGAGAGGGTCCCGCCGGCGGGGAGGGGCCCGTGCGGGGCCCAGCGAGGGCTCGGCCATTGCCCTGCGCGGCTGAGCCGAGACACCGCCCCCGGTGTAAAAGGTGGGAGGAATGGTGAATGCACGGAGCAGTGGCCGGCTCC